GCCTCACAACAATGGGAGGCATCAATCTATAAGCTATTAACTCGAAGGCTCCAATTTAAATTTCACACCTTTTGGTTTCATGACTTAATTTTAGGCTTTTTAGAGGGATTTAGGCGGGAGCTTTGATCAGATGTTTACTGGTCCAAGCAGAAAAAGTATATGTAATTGTTAGTTATTAACTAGTTTAACTGAGAGATTCCTACCCGAGCAGCTGCCTTAGCTTTTCATTAATCTGTCAACACTCGTCTGCGATACGATACTTGTAATCAAAAGACTGCAGAAAAAAGTGATGCGTCCACACCCCTTCGGAGCGTTTAGCCTCCCTCACCTTCAGCTTACCGAACCCTTCCCCGCCACACGTCTCCGCCTCGTGCTCAAAGCTGAAATATTAAAGGGCCTCCTTTTGAACTGTCAGAGTGTATTGTTTTCCTACAAGCGCTCCCTTTTGTCATCTCCGTAGCTTTTACTGCCTTTCTCAGCAGTTTACGGCGCAGCCAAGGTCGTTGCTATTATTCCCCAGCCTCGCATGAGCGCTGGGACCGGAGGAGAGCGGCTCCAACAAAGGAAGGTCATTCTCCCCCCGTGCGCGTTGATGACCGCATTATATCTCCAGCATGAACCTCCATGAGCATAACGGCCCGTCCGAAACGAAGAGCCGCACATTAAGCACGGTGACACGCCGGAGCAATCGGGGCCGCTCGCTGTATTCTGAGCAAATGTGGCGATGGCTAATGGAGTTTTGGTGAGCGATGACAGTTCCTTAACATGCTCTCATATCCGTCTAGCCGGCCCGACTGGTGGAGTGCCTTAACTCCCTTGTGTCGCCTCATTGTCTTCCCCCATTTACTTCCTTTTCTTCAGTGATCTTTCGAGGAGGTTTTTTTTTGCTGGTCAGGAAGGTCAGCGAAATAAACGCGTGAATTTGACGAGGCAGAGGAGTTCAAAGAAAAGGCTGACGCATGATTAACCCCTTGCCTGGAATCGACAAGCGCTCACCTCCCCTCATCTGAAGATTCCAGATCTGTCATAGCGGCAGCTCAGGGTGCGAGCCTTTGATGGAAAATGTAGGTTAAATACACAGAGGAACAGATCTTATTAGCGTTTTCCCCACGAGAGGAATAGTTATTTGATCTGCACTCTTGTTGCATAACCAAGAGGAGTGGGAGAATGAGAGAGGAAGAGAGAGAGAGGGAGCCTTGAATAATCCATGTTTGTTTCAGGAAAGCATATTCTCACTCACTCTGCATGGACGGGGCTCCAATCAGCTGTAATGAGAGCCCAGATTCTAACTAATTTAATAAGCGCTCCGTCTGAAGTGTATAGGCTATATGACACAGATATTAAAGCCGCAGAGCGTACTGTGCAGCATTCCGATTTGAAACAAGCTCTCCTTTAGGCTAAAGACATTTTCGTGCAGGAAGTTTTGCACGCTTTGATATTTCAGAGCAGAACTTGTGGTTTAAGTTTTTATGCCCTTCTTTCAACATGTCGCCTTTTGCTATTGTGTCTTTCAGGAAAATTTGGAAGCATATTTTGGCAGAAAGAACAGTTGAACAGAAAATATTGCCAGGATGAGATTTCAACATTTGCTTGATATTCTTGTTGTGGGATATTAATCTGCTAATTAGTCTGACTGGATGAGAGCAAAAAAGAAATTGAGGATAGTTGCAGCCTATATGTATTTCTTTACATAAATGTATAATATCTTGATATAAATCACTTAAATGTCATTATTAAAGACTAAGAAATACACTGTGCAGAACTTTCTACAGCTTAAAAAACATCCGTCAGTATCAATTAATTTGCTAATTATTTACTTGGTTAATCTTTCAAATTGAGTAAGTTTCTTTTCTTTCATCCAACCGAAAAAAAAATGCCTAGTTATAATCATACCAGACAAATAAAAGTAGCAAATTGCCAACAATAATTAGCCGGGAAAATGGAATATTTGGCATTTTTGCTTTTAAAAAAAACTTTTGTTGAGGGGTTGACCTTTATTATTTTTTCAGTGCCGATTCCGACATCAGTTACTAGTAATCAAGGAGACTGATGACGGATATTTGGACAAGATATATATACACATTGCAGTTTAAATGAAAATCTTAGTCTCAAAATTTAGAAAAACACAAACCCCAACACAAAGCATGGCTGATACGTCGTTGGTCATTAGCGTTTCACATGTATTTCGACAAAAGAGTACTTTTTAACAGCGATGCTTCAGTGTTGATGGGTGATTACCGGCGACGTGTAACCAAGTGCTGTAGGCGGGACATCATGGGACCAACAAGTGAAGACTAGATGGAAAGAGACGGCTGCATCAGAGCCAAAGAAGTTTTTAAAAATAACGATAATCAGAAAAATGTCGACTCCAGAATCCGATAAGCGGCCAGGCGGATAATTAGTCGACCCCCCCTCCCCATGCCATTGTCTTTCTGCCAATCAGCTAATCCATTAACGAGCCAATCATTTCACCTCTACTGCTCAGCGTTCTCTGGTGGAGGACGGATTGTTTAATGGAGCCACTGCTAAATTAGGGCGGTTGTAGTCGATGTTGCCTCAGATGAAGAAGGTTCTGGGTTTCTACCTGCTAATCACCTGCTGCCTTTCCGTGTAGGGTTTGCGTGTTCTCTCTTTGACTGCGTGGGTTTTCTCCAGGTGCTTCCTCCCACAGTCCAAAGACGAGCGTGGTCGGTTAATTGGTGATTGTAAATTGGCTGTGAGTGAACGGGAATGGTTGTGTATCTCCTTATGTTGGTCCAAGTTGTGCCAGCTGGAAAACACTCCAACTTCCTGCAACATTCTGCAGAATAATGAGGGTATAGCCAGGAATGGATTATTCCAAATGATCAGGATGCAGTTTCTTGACATTTACCAACCAGCATGTTCGCAGCTTCCAGATCTGCTACATACACACAGTATAAATTATATATATGCTCATTCATTGGTCTAGTGTTTAGTGATAAATTGCAGCAGTTTGATCGTGATGTAAATGTCGGTCAAACCTACCATCTTACTGTAGCTGTTCTCTTTTTTATTTTAGTTTTTGTGGTCATTATTAATTATGGGCTGCAAGGTGGAGCACTGGTTTGCACCGTTGGTCTCAGCTAGAAGGTCGCTGGTTCACGTCCTGGTAAGGACACCAGGATCTTTCTGCGTGGAGTTTGCATGTTCTCCCCGTACAGTTGTTCTCTCCAGGTTCTCCGGCTTCCTCCCACAGTCCAGAAACATGTTGTGGTTAACTGGTGATTCTAGATTGTCCGTAGGTGTGAATGTGAGTGTGCTTGGTTAGTGTAGCCCTGTGATAGACTGGTGACCTGTCCAGGTGAACCTGCCTTCACCCTGAGTCAGCTGGGATAGACTCCAGCCCCCCATGACCCTAATGAGGATTAAACTGTGTATAGATAATGGATGGATGGATTAATTATTTCTAAATGGTCATTTGTTTCTAAGCCAGTCTTGGTGCACAGCAGCAGCAGCTGGTTTACATGTTGTCAGTAAACTCATTACTATGTGTCTGATAAACTGCCCAACTCAGATAACTCCCATTCCCTCAACTCTCCCGGGGGTCTCGTTATTGTTTCATTATCCCAACAAGGAATAACTGGGAGAGCTTGGGAACGGTATTAGACAAATCCCTTTATTTCAAAATCCATTTGCGCTCAGTAATGTTTCATGGATGTCTATTTCGGTTGGTCTGATGCTGCTATGTTCGTGGGTGCCGTGTATGAGCAGCCTGCCTGCCTGCAATCAGAACAGCCTGTACCATTTGGCAATCTGTACATTTGGCAGAAACGTGAACGCTATCTTGATCCTTATCATCCACACATAAAAGCACGCAACATACAGCGGGCACGCTGCTTTCACAAAATAGTTTTATTGGTAAAAAATAGAACTACTTGCACAAGCACATTGAGACAACTGTATCAGAACTTGTGAACTGTTCATCACAAATATGCTCTGGCAAAGTAAGAAGTGCTAAAGCATCCACAAAAATAAGCTGCAGTTATCAAAATGATAAATCAATGTCTTGGTACAGTAATATGCAGGAGAGTAGTTACTCTTTAGACTTTTAGGACCTAGTCACTTTGCACTCTGGCAATTTATAAGCTAATGAAATTGCGTGCTGATGATCAAGCTGCACAGCCACAAAAAAGAGAAATCTCTAGCTCCTAATTCCCTGCTGAATCCTCTCAGACAGAAATCGTTCCCTTTTTATTTTTTATTTTTTTTCCAGAGTGCCAGTTGTGTTATGTGTTTGTACCGGTCCGGAGAGCTTGGAATGCTCAGCCATTTGAACCAAACTGCTGTCGAATAAAGTAACGCAAGGAAAGGTGCACTGAGTAGTCTTCTTATAAAGAAGATATGGTATGAACATGGTATTGTATCTTATATTGAAACAATCTGAAGGAATCCTGATCCCTCAGTGAAAACAAACAACCTTAAAAGCCTAGACACTTGTGTACAGTTGTCACAGACTTACAATGGACCGTAATTCCTGAAACAAATCCATTTTTTTTTCATTTACAAAATACCACACTCATGTCTTCCTTTATGAAAACCTCATACGCAGTGAAGTCTTGCTGTGCTTTGGGAAATGAGGAATAAAGAGGATTTAAAATAACCCTCGAAAGCTGCACTGGACTGTACACAAGTATCTAGTTGACTTGAGACTTAGTCTGGCAGAACAAATCACAAATCCATAAAACATTTTGCTAATGTATAATTCATGTACAAACAACGCAATAAAAAAATAAACACAAAGAACTCCAGATATTATTAAAACCTGTCATCATGAGACGATTTGGCACATTCTCAGAACACATAACGTGTCAGTATTAGTAGATGACATGGCACATTCTTTACTTTGTTTATTGCATTGGTTATGGTGCCTGGGCAGTGAGTTTTTTGTCAGGAGGCCAGTTCTGTCGGCTGAAGTCTGAGCTGGGCAAGATGGCTAAGTCTGGGTGGGGTGGAAACCTGGCCCTACAGGGCTGCCAGGGCCAGCAGCGGTGCCCACAGAGATGCCCGTGGTGTGCCGGCAGCAGCCTGCAGGTGGCGAGCTGGGCTTAGCCATCTGCTCTCCCCCAGGAAGCTGCATGTTTATGAGAGAGAAGGAGAGAATGTGCGGTTCTATAGATCACTGCCAAGGCCTGTCTCAAGCACAAAAACAATACTCCTCCCATATCCTTCCCCTCAGAAAAGAAGAGGCAATACACTCCGCAAAACAGCCCTGAAAGCACAGCCGTGACATATGAGTAGGAGGGAGTTTTGTTTTCGTGCGCCCGGTGCGCGTCGGCAGGACACGCATTCAACATGCATCAGCGTTCTCCTGTCAGGAACCACATCGGTGTGACATGTGACACAAGCAGGACAGGGGGGGATTGAGTAAAAAAAGAAGAGAGTGACGGGTAGGTAAAAAAAGGAACGGTGACACAGTCAAGTGGATGCAATTTAAGACACCGAGACCTTCTGCAGGTGCGGACTGGTAGCATATGCGCACTGCTGACGCACTTGGAAAACAAGTCACATATGGAGAATGAGTCAAACCTTTTTTAGCTGCCTGCCACACAGACATCCAGTCAACCATGACTCAAGAAGCTTCTCCTTTTTTTTTTTGCATCCTCGCCACTGCACCATTAAACATCTGTTCACCCCTGCGAGGCTACTTGCATGGCGTAAACACCAGAGAAGAGCATTCTCCTAAACCTCAGACCAGGCGTGCTGCCTCATGTCACCGGCTAATAAAGGGGATTAGTGAAAGTAGTGTGAGCAGAGGCTCTGATTAAAGCTTATGGCGAGAGAAAAAGATGCCTCCTCCCTCAAACAACTTCGCTGACTGACATGCACATACCTCCAGACAATAAAGACATTTGAATGCTGAATACCGTTTCCATGGCAGTGTGGAGGCGGATGACAGGAGAGAAAAGCACATGCAAAAAAGCCGGCGTGTCTGAGTGTTTACTGTGTACATGGAGACACACATGTGGAAGTGGGTGGTTGGGTGGGTGGGAGTGCATGTCTGGAATGGATCAGGACGAGTAGCTGCTACTTACTGGAAGGTTGTTGTTTTTTTTTTGTTTTGTTTTGTTTGGATGGAAATGTGAGAACAGCGTATCAGATAGTCCACTCTACTGAAGCAATGAATCTCTTCCTGCCAATTTCTCTCCATCTCTCTCGTATTTCCACCTGCTGGGAGAGACGCAGGCATCTGTTTGTCTGCATTTTCTTTCTTAAATCCAGCCCAGCAGCCCACATCTCCTCCTCCTGACAGTCCTCTTTGAACAGTTACAGCAGGGTAATGTTTCTACAGCTTTTCAGGCACAGGCATTGTGTGGCTATGTCTCAGTCTTCTACCAGGCATTCCGCTGTATTAATACACAGACAGGCTCCACACAGCATGCTTTAGAGGCAAAATATCAACATCATTCTAGTAGCTAACAAAAATATGACCATTTATTTCAATCAATTCCACGTAGCATTCTAGTGGATAAGTATACGAAAAACTACAGTGGCTTGCTATGAAAACGTTTTCACCTACTGCTCTCGGGCGTTATATTGCCTATTTTGTCAAATGGGAGTGTACCGAACGATTGTAAATAGCAGCTAAATGATTGCTTTTCTCTTTCAATTCCAACCTTTGGTGAGGAAAAAAAAAAAATCTACACGGTAGGCTTCCTTATTTGCTTAATCCATTCCCCGGGGAACTCTTTCTGTGATTTACTGATGAAGGATGTCTGCATTTGGTTAGCGGCTTCCTTCGATTCTGCAGCACCTTATCCTGGCTCTCCTTACACATTCACACTGTTTGTTCCAAGGCGCTGCTCAGGGAATACCTCCACTGCTTGTGCTTGCAAAACAGAAAAAAGGGAGAAGAGCAAGATAGAGGAGAAGGGAAAATGAATTCAAAGTTGTTGCCCTCCTCTCTCATTTTTTCTCCACCTCCATCTGGAGTGGAGCCTAGTGTGTAGGATAAGCTGTGATGGTTTCCCCTCAGGCTCGTCTTCCTTTAGCCGTAGCGTACACAGCGCTGTTTTATTACACATAGTCCTGCAGGCTATAGCCAGTCTTATTGTCTAATGGGGAGAGAGAGCAGTACTGGTGCTGGAGCTCCTGCTGCTGCTGAAGCAGCTGTTGCTGCTGCTGCTGGAGCAGCAATTTGTCGGGTGGAGGGAGCAGGACCAGGTCCTGGGGGCCATGCCTCTTCCCCGAGCAGGACATACAGAAGATGGACCCTCCCACAAAGAGAAAACCTGCTGAAACGAAGGCCACGTACACTGCACCCCCAGGCTCAAACTTATTGCTCTCGGGCACGCTGGAGTCCAGGAAGTTGGTGATGACCTCGTTGGTAAACCAAGAAGCAGGCACCAGACACAGAAAGCCTGCAGCGACAAAGCAGCCACCACTAGCAATCGCAGCATGCCGCTTAGAGCGCCGTCCACCTCCCCAGCGAGTGCATTTTAGTCCCAGGGATGCAAGGCAGAGGCCCATGGCAGCCAGCACGCAGCACAGCACCATGGTGGTGCGAGCAGTCTGCAAGTACGCAGGTAAAGAAAGCACCGAATACTTGAGTGTGCAGCTGAACATGCCCGTGCTGTACCATGTGCAGTCCATCCACAGTCCCTGCATCTGGGAGATTGCTGTGATGATGTTGGAGCCCACATCTGCACTGACCTTCCAGTTGGGCAGCAGAGTGGCCACCATGGCACCCATGATGCCCAGCAGCGCCAGGACAAATCCAAATATCTGCATGCCCGTGGATGCCATGCTCCTTTTCAAGTCGATGCTGCTGCTGCTGCCGCCTCCTCAGCCGTTGTCCTCTCCAGGCAGCATTCACCCAGCGCCAGCCGGGCTCGTCGACCCCACTGCCCAGCCGCCTCTCTCCCCTCCCTTGGTGGCGTACCAGCTGCCAGTCAAACCCCCCAAGCTCCTCGGCTCCTCGGCTCCTCGGCTCCTCAGCTCCTCAGCTCCTCAGCCGCGGCTCCACTGGACTGGAGGAGAGAGACGAAAATGAGAAATTGAACTGAGTGGGTCTCCTTGGGCTCCCTTCTTCTTTCTCATCTTATTCACCTCACACATGCACTGTGGTTTTTTTTTTTCTTCTCTGGCTGGAAACAAAGGACAGTGTCAGGCACGAGCAGTAAGAGCTTGTTCTGGCTGACTACAGGTAAGCAAACACACCGGGTGCTTGTTGTGCATGTGAGCGTTTCCTACATGCTGCCTTCTCCCTTTGCCTTCTCCGGAGCCCCATAGAGCTGTTACTGGAGAGGGAGAAATGAGTTTGTGGTATTTGCAATGCTCAATAGCTATGTGGACTTAAAGCTGCAGTGCCCTCCTCCCACTAATATACTGTATATTATAGCACTTTGATTCCTGTGCTGTTTATCTCACTGCCTTTGAAACACTTCCACTGCGTTATTTCAGGATAAAAATATTCAACCAGCCGCTAGAATTAAACTTTATGCTCCTTTTTTTTTTTCTTATCATTTTTCTCGGACTTCTCTGTCATCTAAACAAACCACAAGTCTAAATGTTTGTTTTTGCGATCCGGTGAGGGAACAACAACAACAAAAAATAAAAAAATGCGATGTTGGAATAATCCCTTACCCCGGCTGGTGCAGAGCTGCTGCCGCCGCTGACGTTGTTCGCAGTGATTCCTGTAAACACACACAGTCACACGGTGGGAGACGGCAGGCTGCTGAGGGGGCGAGGAGGACAATTCAGCCCGGACCGCCGATCCATTCAACACATCCATTTCCTTAGCAACAGTGTAGAGAGACCACACAGGCTCGGCCGGAGCCTGCGAGAAACAACCGGAGCCTGCCTCCCTCTCTCCCCCCTCTCTCTCTCGCTTTCTCCTCCTCTCTCTGGCTCGACTCGCTCTCTCTCTCTCTCTCTCTCTCTCTCTCTCTCTCCTCGCCGGTGTGTGTGTGTGTGTGTGTGTTTTCTGCCTCACAACTTCCACAGCCAGCTTCCCGACCGTTACTGTACCACCGTCACCTCCTCCCGTCACGACAACCGCCTTCTTCAGTGTAACCGTCGTTAAGCTCGGTGTTCGGTTAACCCGGGCGAAGACGCGTTAAAACCACAGTTATTTTTAAATGTAAATGATACACATAGAAGCCAGACTACAACTTTGTTATTAGAAAACTAAATGTAAAGGAGGAGTCTTCCCTCACAAGTAATATTGGTCAATACAAACGTGCTACTAGCTTAACTGACTTTAGCTGCAACGTGACTATTAGGCAACAGAACAATATTAGCCTATGGAAATTATTTTAGTTTTTTTTAGAATACAGTCTGACTATTGCTAGGAAATTTCGAGTTAATGAGTCCAGAGCAATGGTTATAACTTTGTTCTATTAAAAAACAAAAATGTTATCTTTAATATTCAAATTCCTCGCCTAAACGTGATCTAAATCCAGGGATGCTAAGTTGACCCTAAGGAAGAATTCAAGCTAGCTAGCTAGTGCCCGCTAATGTAGCATAATGTTGGTAGCTTAACATAAATCCAGCTATGTAGAAGTTATAACTTTACTACAACTTTATTATCATTGCTATTTACCTTTATGGCATAAAAATAATCTCAAATAACCAGGGATGCTTAGCCTACACGGGTGAAAAATTCAAGCTAGCTAGCTAATGCAAGCTAAAACAGCTAGTTAGACGTTATACCTCTACTACAACTTTATTATCATTGATACTTCAATTCCTGACAGAAATAATCTCAACTCACCAATGAAGCATAGCTGACATCCGTGAAGCATGTAAGCTAACAAGCTAGTGGAGCATAACTGTACTAGCTTTACATAAAGTCAATACTTTTTTTTTTTGCGCTGCTGCTTAGCTATAGTGTTGCTGTTTCAGATAATAGTGTCCATTTATCAGAAATCTAACATTAGCAGGCTAGAATATCAAAAATTATTCGTGTCCATGGGGGGCTTCTTATCTAGTATTTGTAATTTATTGTACAATGATTTTCATGTTAACAGTAAAAAGTTTGTGTATGTATATTCTATTTAAAAAAAAAAAAAAAACAGAACCGCATCATTTACTGTCCAAATATTACATAAGTATACCTCAGAACCACATCTTTTAATTATCTCCAACCAGCCATATGATTTCAATGCTATTTAAAGATTAGCAAGGGCATCATTCTAGAAAAAAACTTAAAGTTTTGAGGTATGTTGATGGAACATTTTGACAGTACAAAATTCTCTTTTGATTTTCTTTAGCCTTTTAATTTTGTTTTAACAAGAATATACATATATATCCTTTTTTTTAACTTTTAACGTTAGAGTCTTATGAAAAGTTATCCATTCATTCAAACAAAAAACAAGGAGCATTTTTTATAATAATAATAATATAATAATTCTTCTGAGAGAAGAAGCCCGCCATAGATATCAATAATTTTCAATATTCCAGCCCAGATATCTGATAAATTATGTACACCATCATCTAATACAGTAACATAATATCTAACCAGAAGTGAAAAATGCATCTTCATCTGTCTGGCTGACATAAAGGCAGCTGGATTAAAAAATAAAAAGATCAAAAATGATTTCTGTATGGGTTATCTAACATTTATGCTGTAGTTAAAGAGAGTGCAACATTAAAAATTGAAAATAAAGTTAATCTTATACATAATTAACACGTGTGTATTGATCAAAATGACTTGAGGTAAAACTGCGTCTTAGAAGATAACCCTTTTCAAGATAAGACGTTTTGCTTTGTAATAACAAAGTCATCACCCCGATTTACACGATTTTGTTGTACTGTGCAGCACAGTAGGATGGAGAAACAAAGATTTGGACCAACATATCAGACTGTAGGGTTAAACTGGTAAATGTCATAGAGGTAAGGTCAGTGGACTGAATGAAAGTGCAACACAAACAGGGTGGATATTCAACAAGAATGGACGAGCTAGAACAACTCCTTTTCTACTTACTGTGTAGTCGTTCTCTGTCTTTGGTCGTGGCGTTAAATGCAATGAAAATATAGCCAACTTCACAGCACAGCCATTCATTTTAACTCATGAGGGTTGGTGAGTTTGCCAGAGGATTTAGCTGCATAGCTTGAAAGTGACCGGTGGTTAACACATCGTCTTATTGGGCTGTGTCTCAGTCACCATTTCATACTTGTAAAAAAAAAAAAAAAATGGAAATAAGAACAGTTTTTTGATCATTACCTGACCAATGACTGGAGTCAAAAACGTCTGATGTCGTGACGTGGCAGGTAACAAACTGAGGCATTTTAGAGAAAAACACGGTTTAAAATAGTTATATTGATGCATTTTCAGTGTTGTCATGTATTATGCCAACAAATCGTGGCAGACTTACCCTAAATAATCAAAAAAATCCCAGAAGAAAGCTTCTTCGTGGTAATCAGATTAAGTAATCGGAGAACTATTTAACCAGCTACTATGCAAAAACAAACTTTTACAAACATCCTACCTCATGGAAGTGAATTTAATTTGTGCAAATTTTAGCTAAAACTCAGAAACTGTCTAAGCTACTGTACTTTAAATTATTCTGTGACCTTTATGTTAACAGTTTTTATCAAAATGACCTTCCCTCTAAGAAGTAGACACATTTTTCTGTTTAATTTTATCGTTGTTCACCTTGTTGTAGACCACTCATTACCTCCAGCTAGTCCAGTGCATCGTAAACACTTGTGAATATTTTCTGTCTGGTGAAGTTTTTTGAGTACATGGTCGTAATTCTAGACAAACATGTCCACAATTCCAGATTTTAATTGAATGAAAAATGGCAAAGTTCTTTACTCCGCATAATGTGACTGCATGAAGGCTTCCAAAAAGCAATTTGTTGCTCAGACAGCTTGGCAGTAGAGACTGACATTTGTCTTTTCAGACATTAGTCTGTGCTGGGAATCCCATTGTTGCTCTGCATTGTAAGCTAACAAAATCTAATCCATCCCATTCCTGCATTGCACTTCTCAATAATCATAATGCAATACTGCTGCTGTGAAAAGATAAGAACTGGCCGAGATGCAAAGTCTAGATAAGATTTCCAATCGTAGCCGCGCCGCCGCACAACTGGGAAGGATAATCTAATTAAGACAAAAGAAATAGCTGCTATCATTACGACCAGATGAGCTCGTCGGACTTGGACGAGGCCGTGCTCGTGTCCGTGCTGGTCAAAAGGCCAGAGGAGCAAGTTGTACCCCGCCATGCCAAAACCGACCCTCCCTGGAGCGTCATCTTCATCAGGCGTCAGTCAGCAGGCGGCTAAAAACTCACAGCTGCTCCCCTGTCTTTGCCTGTCTTTCCTGTCGTCTCTGTGGAGGACGTCGACCAGAGGAGGGAGTGGCCAGGACGGCCTTGATTCATGAATGACAAAGAGGACAAAATGAGAGCGGGGCGGAGAGAAATCAGGCAGGCCTAATAGACCTGATATCCTCGTGAGCGCAGATGTGCGCTGCTATTATTTTTGCTGCATGGGCACATCAACAAAAAAAACAGCCAGCTGTGGGGAAATTGTTTTGCCTCTCTCCCAACTCCAGCGTAAGGACCAGGAAATGGCCACAGTGATGTGTAGTCGTTACGTGTAGATAGGTTGGTAGCAATTGATTTGTTTCGCCATTGATCTGTTTGTTTAATTCGACCCGGTGCTCTTCTCCAGCCTCCGTTGTTTTTCCCCATAAACTACCCCTAAGAGACCCCTTTTCTTTAAAATGAGAGGACGGAGGACGACAGCACACCACATTACCTCCGGCGTGATGCTGGTGTCGACCTTCAGCGCTACAAT